ACTAGATGTACAAATGTTCTGCTAGAAAAGGTAAACATCACCTTTTCATAAATGAGAGCGTGCTTAGCACACAAAGCAGCAGCACAATGTCTGCACTACTTGTGTGCTTGTCCTGAGGTTATTCCTGTGTTTATCTAGGATCTAAAAACTTTTCACTGGAAAGAACAGCAGCAGACATTCTCAGAAACCTGTGGAATCATTCACTGGGGTCTGTGTCTTTTCACGAATTCTTCTGATAAGTTGGAGGAAATGGTGTTAGCATGTGCTCTGAAAGCAGTGCTTTTAGTGTTTGTGTTTGTAAGTGTAAGAAGTTTATTCTCTCTGTGATAGGCATATTTGTTACAGTGATTGAAACTTTTGATGGTGTTTATTTGCTTTTCTCTGCAGTGAAAGTAAACAGAGGGACTTCTATTCAGGCAGTCTGTAATGTCAACAGTGGAACTCTTCCATGCAGACAGCATTGATCTAAGGTCTACCTTCAGCTGGTGACAAGTGCTCTGAATTCCCTGTGCTCATGAGCATTTGTGTGGAATTTAGATCAGTTTAACATGGATTGGGAGATGCCACAGCCTGAAGCAGAAGAGCACTTTCAATTGAGTGCTGAGATGAGGTGCTGGGCAGGGCTCACACATTGCTGGGTGATGCTTGCATCGTTTTCAGACATGACTTGTTGCACAAAACAGCTGGGATGAGAGAGGAAGAGTGCTGGATTTCCGGGTCAATGCTTTGTTTTCACACTGAGTACTTTCCCTGTGAGCTTTGCCCAGCTCCAGAGGGATCTGACACTGCCTGGCCAGAAGTCAGCACGTATTTATAGAAACTTTCCTGAAGGAAGGCAGACCTGGGACACTGTGAGGGTAGAACTGATAGGTATTAAAAAGACTTGGGAGTCACTGGGCAGAAAACATCAAAGCAGACCTCACCTGACAAATGCTGTGGGACTGGTAAGTAAATAATACTATGCAACAGGGAAAGCATTGGGATTTTCTTATAATTGATAGGTGGCCTAAGACACAGTCTTGAATCAAAGTTTGTAGCTCTAACTTTTCTTGTGTTGGTACAGCACTAGGAGAAATCCCATCTCCGGGGAAGCTTGGGATTCCTTCCCACCCTCTACGTCTCTGTGATTGCTAATGAGTCAGGAAGAAAAAATCTCAGGTCTCACGTTTGTTCTGGATTTCTGAAACTAATTCCTGGCAGCCTCACAGATTTCCTGGGTGATGTGGGCAATATTGTTTTCTCTCACATTATCTGTTTCCTAAATAGCTCCTTGTTAACACTGGTTGTTTATTTAGACAGACTTCTAAGAAGTAGGATATAAAAGATTAGGGCTTTATGGCTTTTCTGGGCAGGTTTCATCTTTAGTCTCCTAGTGCTGTGGCAATGAAATTATTACAGCAAATGAATCAGCTCATTCAGCATTGTGGAGTCAGGTTTCCTACACCCCAGGGCAGTGCCTCACTGCAGGATAGTTTTTCACTGCCCCAGAGGCTGTTTAGTGGCATGTCTCCAAAGGGAGCTATAGAGATTGAGGCCAGTGATTTCCAGATAATGGATCTGTGCTGTGGAGCTCATCACTCTTGGGAGTCATTCCATAATTCTTTCCAGGGACTGTGGATGCCTTTACAGTCTGTGGGGAAAAGGCAACCCATGAGTTTTCAGTAAACCCTTAGATTGACATGCTGGCCTTTGGTCCAAACCAGAAAGTGATGAGGATCACTGGAGCAAGGTGTGTTTAGAGAGCAAGGTGTGTTTTCATCTCTGTATTCTGGAAGATGGGGTGGGGAATGGAAGAGCCTGTTTGTCCTTCCCTTCTGAAGAAGCCAGGTGTGAGGGTGCTGGGATATCAGAGAGGTCCAAGAAAGCCTGGGTTAGATCCCCACATCCTTTGAGTGCCTGAGTTCCTGGGCTGCTGTATTCTGAACAATTCTTTCTCCATCTCCTGTCTCTTTATGAACTTTTCCATGCCTGATACTTGGTTGCAATCCTGAAGTGTGTTGCAATATCTCACTGTTCATAATCTCTGCCAGTACTAAGAAAGTTTGTCCACAAACTCTACTCTGACCTGGCCATATAGATCCTGTGCTTTGAAACAGCTCTTACAAAGTTGAGAATACAGAATGACTACGGTTTTTCTGATCAGTTTTTTTTTCACCAAAATTGTGCATCTTCAGAGAAAGAAAACTGCAGACTGAATTTGGCAAATAGCTTTAAATCTTCACAATTAGTAAACAAAATCTTCCTAAATTTTAACGCTTTCAGAAGTATCTAAAAATTTTAAACACCAGGTTTTAAATAACTTTCTAATGTGATTATTCTGAAAGTTTAAAAACACTTGAAGTTTTATAACCTTGTTTCAGGATTAATGAAATGTTTGGTATGATCCAAACATATTTTTAGTTTCCTGAGTCTACTAGCGTATTTTAGGTTTTATTGTTGGAAATACAAGTGTTTTCATTTCAGGTTGACCCACACTACATCACTATTATTATATTTATTGTCTACATTATATTCTTTATTTATGTTATTATGAGTTTTATTGTTTATTGCTATAATATTATATTGACTATAATATTATATTGACTATAATACTATATATTAATATTATATATATAATGAATACTATATATTAATATTTTATACATAATGTGTCATATTATATTATATTATATTATATTATATTATATTATATTATATTATATTTANATATTATATTATATTATATTATATTATATTTAAAATATTATATTATATTATATTATATTATATTTAAAATATTATATTATATTATATTATATTTAAAATATTAATTATTCTATTCTATTCTATTATCTGTACTAGAATCCACATTTGGTAGTGATGCAAAAGAACAAATTAGATGCACTTCTGCAAAATTAGGATATTGCCTTGTTTTCAAATGTCCCTTTGAAATATGGAACAGTTTAGGGGTTCAGCTTCTGCCTGTGTCTGGTACCTGCTTCCAAAGGGGGCCTGGTTTGCAAGTGTTTGTGTGATTTAAGGTTAAGGGGACGTGTGCACTGAGCTCAGGGAGTTTGGTTCCACAGAGCAAGGTCAAGCCCAGGCAACAAAGGTTTTGCTGCCTTATGCAGATCAAAGGGTTTCTGCTACCAGCAAGCTGCTGGCCCTGTCTGTGGCATGGGAAATTATGCAGCATCTGAACTCTTAGATGGGTAACATGACAAGAATCTGCCTCTTGGCTTTTGCCTTTGTGATGTACTTGATGGCCAGGCCTTATAACAAAGTTGGTTACTCAAAAACCCCATCAGTTTTCTCCCCAGAAGGAATGAACTTGAACCTAAAACAAGGACCACAAACTTGCCTCTACCTAATCAAGCGCTCCTTTCAGGGAATAAGAGCAACATAATGCAACTAAAGACATCAAAATACTGAAAAAAGCAATCCCTGAAACCCAAATGCTCACAGAGAAGAGATGCCATCTGAAAAAACCTCATACAAAGTGCTGATGAAAATGTAAGAGGGAGAAAAGCACTCTCTGATTAACTTTTGTTTGGTTGGGGTTTTTTTTAATATGTTTTACCCATCACTGCTGTGAAACACATACTTGCAAAATTAGGCAGTGGAAGCAAAGAATGCCAACTCAGCACTGTCTTATGTAGCAGACTGGTATTTAACCACCCCAAAAAGAATAAATTACTGTAGTAACAATCAGGAATAGATACATGAAGGAAACCAAAACAAACAAGGACTACTAGGGGACAAAGGAATGGTAAAACAAGCATTCTTGGGTGCCACAAAATCAGTCATCCTCTGCAGAGCCACCGGGGTAAGGGAGTGGAAATTGATACTCACAGAATTTCACCAGGAGGTATTTGGTTTCCTTCAATGCTCTGTCAAAGTTGCTCGGTTTTAGCAAGAGGACATGGTTCTCCTTTTTTATTTTGGGGAGCTTGTTTTTCTTTAGCTTTGCTTCATTTGGGCTTATGCTGCCTGCTGCCAGGAAGCTTGTGAGAAACAACAGTAGAAGAAGGAAAAATGGATGCATCTTCATCTTGTCCTGCCTTTATCTAGATACTGAAAAAGAAAGAAGCAAAAGAGCATTAAGCAGTAGGGTTTGCTGCTCAAATGTCTGCAGCTGTATCAGCCAAACCAAGAGTCTGATAAGGCTGATAACAGTCCACCACCAGTGGAGCCAATTGCACTTTTCCAATGGAAGATTAAATTAGTTAAGTACTTCTCCATCTTTAGCAGTGTTTGGGGGAGGGGAGAAAGTGTTTATGGGGAAGTTGGGTTTACTGTTTCTGTAAATAAACAACCCAGGGAGAAGGAAACACTTGCCTACAGAAGCACCAGTGGGTTCAGAGTGCACAGGTGTAATCAGACACCCTTCTCTTGTCAGGGCTGCAGGCAAAGCAGCAGGTCAGGTACCTGGGACTGTATTTGAGGGCTGCTCCTCTGCCTAATGTTTGCTTGTCTCTTGCACTTATGGGTCTACTGATTGTGGATCTGACTGAGAGTGTGCTGAAGTCAAGGAAAAACTCTCATTTCTTTGCATAGGTAATTTTAACTGTAAGAGTCTGTAACTCTTCAATGTTTTGTCTGTGAGGCTCCCCCCTGTACTTAAGTGCCAAGCTTTAGCTCAAGTAAGATACTACTTCAAGGGTTAAACCAGAAGATTTTGCCACTGGTTTTCAGTGGTACCAGTTTTCTGTGAAACAAACTGAAGGGACTAAATGTACCAATTCATCCTTAGGATAGCTATCAACTGTGCATGTGAACTATGAGGCCTCACTACACAGTTTTTCAGAACATTCAAAAAATATCTTACAGAAATATCAAGATTCTGGAATTTCTTCAATTTACTAAGGAATTATTGTTTCTGTAAACACCTGCCAGTCCATAGTTGTAGCAGAAACATCTTTGACCCTTAAACTCTTATGAAATTTGTGAACTTTACCCCCAAAGCTGTATGTGGTAGAGGAGATCAGGTATTCTAGTGATTGTTTCAGTGGCACGAAGGACAGAGCTGCCTTGACAACCCATGAGTCTGGATTAGTAGAACCAAGAAGAAATTCCTTCAATAATGACTCTTTCTTCTTGAGGAGTAGTAAGTGATGCTTTGCACCTCTTGCCTTTAGCAGACTTTTTATCCAGGAGGGCACCACTAAAAAGAAGGCATGTTCATAAGGGGGGTTGATGTGGTAGCCTCTATTTTCTGTGGGTGGAGGGTCTTGGGGAGCATATTGCTGCAATTTAGTCTGTTCTCCTGCCTGCTGTGAGTGGGGCTGAGTTTCCAGCAAACTTTTCTATCAGTCTCAAAAGCTTCGTGTTGTAATGCACCTTGAGATGTGTTCTATTAGTACTTGTAGAGCTGTGCCTAATGAAATCAGGAGCTGTGTATTCAGGCTGCTTGCAAGATAAGATCACACATAAATACAGATTCAGCAATCAGGTACTAAAGGAGAAAAAGAAGTAGAAAGATAAGAGTCTCCCATTTGACTTTGTGGTCTCTTTCTCTTCATAACAGAAAGAAAGAAGACATCTTTCCTTTCCAAACATGTCTTTCAAGCAACATACTAGTAAGGTTAAAAAGCATCTCTCAGAATTGCAGGCTAAAACTAACAAAGTTTGTTTGAGCTGAGCAGGCAGTGTTTAAGCTCAGAATACAGCCTAAGGCTCCCAGAGAAAAGGCAGGATGACAAAACCATTTGCTGAGAGAGCTGGTTTTCCCCTGTCTGCCACTAAAACAAATTTTTGTCAACTTAAATCCCTCCTGGAAACCTCCTACCAGGAAATAGGCTCCATCATGGAAAGGGCTTCTAACTTCTGTGTCCTGAAAGGAAACTGCAGAAAAAGGAGGAGCATACAACAGTCCATTCTGCCAGGACAGATTTGCAATGAGGAAAGGAGTGAGATTTATGTGGAAGTGAACTGGTGGAGAGCAACGTTTTCTTCTAGACATAGAGCAGATAAGGTCACATTCTGTACATTTCTTCATCAGTACTAGCTAGCTTTGGCTTCCTTTTTGTGCTTTGTAGTTTGAGAGCTATGGAAAATCTGCCCTCTGCAGAAATCACAGTCCAGTCAGCAGGAAACACTGGATTCAGAATAAATAATATCCTAGAGCCTTCTGCTTAGTTACCACTTACACCCTTTAAAATATGTGGTTAAGAGCCATTAGACATACCTTATATGTGCTCCTTCTGTCTCAATTTCTCTGGTTTGCCTTGCAAAGACAGTGATTTCAGAGTGATATCAGGTACTGTTATTTATTGGCATTGAACACTGGAAGCTCTCACTACACCTACGCTTGCAATAAATAATGCAAAGGTGAAAGTAACTGCATAGAATCCCTGGGAAACAGGTATGTACTGCTGGCTATTAAATAAGGAACACATCATGGCACAAAAAAGATAAAAGCAAAGCTGATTTCATTGAATTGGGGAAAAAAATCCCTTAGATATATGGGTATATCCTTAAAGACTTCGTTACACTCAGAACAAGTTAATGACTCTGCACCTCTGAGTGAAAATCCAGTTTTCTTGACTTTCAGGGTTGGGCTTTAAATACCTGTGGCATTATCCATTCTGTCTCTTCTATATGTACCTGTACTAGGAGAAACTAGAAGTGTTGGCACTTTCTTTGCAAGTTCATTTTACAACATGTATCTTTTCCTCAGCTGCAAACTTCAGCTGAAGTGTAAAGCAAATTGAAGTCTTTGACACTCCACCTTTGCTCACCTACTGTCTATTTTGTGCTTGTTTCATTCCCTCAAAGACAATAGAACTCATAAGAAAATAAATCAGAGATTCATCAGTTTTATTGGTGCATAAATTCAGTGTGACTCGCCATCTAGTGCAGGTTTAAGGCATAACATAATTACAGAGACAGTTTCAAGTCAAGGTGATAGTCTCCTAAAATACTTTAAAAGTAGTGGCATTTTATTTCTGTAAGCAGGCAAAGTAACATAAAATTTACAGGAATCCAGACATAGATATTGAGAAAAGGACTGGCAAGTGAAATTTTAGAGATGAGATATGAGAGTCATTCATCAGCTGACAGAGTAGAGGACAAATATTCTAACGAAAAGCACTGCACTATCCCTTTACAAGAAAAGAAGGAACATAAAATAATAGGGGAAACAGGGATGTGTTCAAACAACCTATTTATTCAAGCTGGTTTGCATTAATTCATCCAGCATCACAAACTAGACGGCATCCAATAACTGTCTGGTTTAAAATGTATTTTCTTTCATTCCAGGTGACTGATTCATAAGGTGTACACCTGATTCTTCCCTTCACCATCTGATAAAGCATCATATATCATGAGAACATTTATTAAATCCTGGATTCCTCAGTGTTTGTGGATTCTCAGGTCACCTTCCAGATCATTCCATGGAAACAACAGGCTTCTTACATCTCAGATTGTTTCCTATTATGAATCTATAAACCGGTGCAAAACGGAACTTCCAGAATATTTCAACTTTGCTAGTGATGTCTTAGATGAGTGGGCACGACTGGAAAAGGTAGTATTTGTCTTTTATTTTATAGACATTGAGTTGTAGTTTAACGCCAGCTGTCAAGTAAAAACCACAGTGCTGCTGGATCACACACACACAGACACACACACACACTCCCCAGTGGGATGGGGAGGAGAATCAAGAGAAAAAAAAGGTAAAACCCATTGAGTTGAAGAAAGAACAGTTTAAGAATTGAAATGTTAAAATAATAATAACAACCATTATAATATTAGTAGCAGTAGTAGTAGCTCACTTTCCACTGATTGATGCCCAGCCCATCCCCAGACACCTCCCAGCAAACTTCCCCCCAGGGTATAAACTGAGCAGGACCTGCTGTGGTGTGGAATATCTCTTTGGGCAGTTCAGGCCAGCTCTCCTGTCTGGGAGCCCTCCCAGCTTCTCATGCACTTCTTTGTTGGCAGAGTGTGGTAAACTGGAAAGTCCTTGCCTTTCAGTAAGCACTGCTTAGCAACAACTAAAACATCAGTGTGTTATCAATACTACACTCATCCTAAATTCATAAACCACAACACTATACCAGGACTTAGTAAGAAAATTTACTTTATTCCAGGCAAAACGAGGACACAGGGGAGCAAATCTAAGACGATACAATTCCATTTTCCTCATTGGTACTGGACAATATTATTTGCAGAGTGAAAAGACCATTCTACTTTGTTTATCAGAAATATAGGTGTCACCCTAAGACAGTGATTCCAAGGATGATTTGCTTAGTTAGAAGTTATTTGGTATTAAAGTGAAACCTTTGAAGATATGTCTTATTTTAATATCTTGTCACGTGTTGTAGGATGGAAGAAAACCAGCAAATCCAGCTTTTTGGTGGGTCAATGATGAGGGAGAGGAGGTGAAGTGGAGCTTTGAGGAGCTGGGCTCTCTGTCCAGGAAGGCAGCCAATGTCCTTTCTGAGGCCTGTGGTTTGCAGAGAGGAGACAGAGTCATTGCAGTTCTGCCTCGTGTTCCTGAGTGGTGGCTCCTGAATGTGGCCTGCATGCGAACAGGTGAGGGACTCCCTGATTGTTGGGTGCAGAGAGAAAGCAAATACAGGCTACAAGCCCTGTGTTAGATGGCAGTGAAGAAAATGCACACAGGAACATTCTAACGTGACCTCTACAACTGATCTTTTGCCTAGAAGGAGAATTGGCAGCACCCACACAGGAACCACAGGGACAGGCATGGTCCAGTCAAATGGCATCCTCAGGTGAAGCCATGAGGGGTGAATGGCTGCAGCCTAAAGCCAGGCTTGACCACATCCATTGAAAGGGAGATGAATGTACAATGGAAGAATTTATATGATTAGAGTCATTAATAATGCAAGATATCTATTTTGTTCTGCTGTTAAACTGCTAAACATCCATGATGGATAAAGTCAGCATCAACAGAGAGACACAACCAAGTATCTGTGGGAAATATTGAGTTTTCTCAATTGCTTCTTTCCAGGAATTGTCCTTATTCCAGGAACATCCCAACTAACAGCCAAAGACATCTCATACCGACTCCAGGCTTCAAAGGCCAAGTGTATCATTACCAGTGACACACTGGCACCTGCAGTGGAATCTGTCCTGCCTGGCAGCCAGTTCCTGAAAAGTAAACTCATTGTAGGCCAAGGGAGCAGGGCTGGGTGGCTGAACCTCAAAGAACTCCTTGCGTGAGTATCCAGCTCTTTCACCATCATGCCTGTGAGCTGAAGGGAGCTGTACCAGTCAGGTGACATTGCTGAGTTTTGGGGGGAATTTTCAAAATCCAAATGAGTTACATTTTTGCATCCCTCTGTCAGCTCCCTGTTTTGTGATTACAGTGGTAGAGGTTCACCCAGTCCAGGTTTTGGGAGCCAAGTTCATGTCCTTCAGCTTCACTTAGCAGCCTGCTAGCTTTTAGAAGCAATCAAAATGTAATCTACTGTGATCACCAGACAAGCACACAGAGTTCTAAACCAATGTTAGGAACTTGTCTGCTGGAGCCCATTCTAATGGCTCTTGATTAAATGGGAAAATATCCATTGCCAACTCTTGGTGCTCAGTTATTTCTTCCCTTTACTATCCTGAGAGCTCAGAGGATCTGAACTGTCAATCAGTCTCTTGAACATAAATGGTATCCTCTTAGTAATAAGACCACTGTCCTTGGCATAATAACCTTAGTTATTGATTTCAAGTTGGAGGTTGGTTTTTGCTTGTGTGAGGCAGCCACTGATTTTTGGCTGCTGTTCCATAATCAGCACGTGGAGTGTCCTTGCTAAAACAGTTGCAGATAAAGTCACTGAAATATTCTGTGGTATTAAAAGTTGTGCCATACAGGGCATACTCATTAAAAGAAATATGTGTTCTCTAACTGTTCTTACCTGTGTTACACTTATTTAGTGTAGCAGTTTTGGTTTGCTAATTTGAGTTTCCCAGCCAATGTACCAATTATGTAGTGGGTTTAGTGCCAATACACCCACTGGTAATTATTTTTTCATTTCCTACTGTTAGTTATGGATTAGGAGGAAGAGGGCAAAACAGGCTCAAAACTTTACAGGGTAAAAGAAAAACTTTATTAACAAAATTGAAAGAAAAATGGTAAGAAAATCAGAATAAACCTTTAGAACATTTCTCCCCCTTGCCCTCTTTTCCTTCCCACTGACAACATAAAGAGACAAAGCCTGGGGCTTTCAGTCAGTTTACCACCTCTAGAATAGTCTTTCTTCATTTCTTTAGGGAGAAGAGTCTCTCTCTCTTGTCATGCTATGGAAATAGTTCTCATGGCTTCAATGTCACAGCAAATCAGCCACCCAAGAAAGGAAAAATCTGTTTGCAGTGTGAAAGTCCCTCCATACCTTGCAGCTTTCCCACAACTGCTTTCATGGGCCAAGTCAACTTATTGGGGTACAATTCTAAGAATGAGCTGCTCTAGTATAGAAACAAAAGTTCTTTTATCTCTGGGAACAAAGGTTTTCTGCTCCCATCTCTGGAGGCAAAGTTTCTCATCTCTCTCAGTTCAAGCTTGTCATTGGATTACAGCTAATGCAACAACTGCTCATTTCAATACTGGTGCCACAGCTTACAGTTGTGTTAGAATGCTACATCTCCCCATTTCTATACATATCTATGAGCTACAGACGAAAAGTCTGATGTACCAATTATATCTTCCCTATAACCTTACAAGAGGATTTCAGCCCAAGACTAATATATCTCCTCAAATCCCCTCCCATCTAGAATTTGACTCCTTCACTGACCTCAGAGTCCCAAGTTGTTTCCTCTATGTGTCCTCACCCTTTTTGTGATTTGGGAGAGAACGGTGTTCATAGGCTCATTTGGATAAAGCTCATCTAGAGCTTTATCGATTGAAACAGTTTTTATAGAGTTCTGCAGCATTAAAAGGTTGACCTTGTCCAGGCTCTGCAATTGAGGAATCGCTGTGTCCCTCCTCATGGTTGCCGATGGCACTGTGCGAGTCACGCTGGCTGCCCATTGCCATCCCTGCACCTTTTCTTGGTGTGGAGCTCGGGGAAAAGAAACAAAACTGCTGCTGCTGCTTTTGTCTGTCTGTCCCCAGCATGGCTGGCTAAAAACAGCCAAGCAAACAAAGTCTATTGCAAGTCATGCTGCCCCAGCCATGCCGGCGTGGGCCGCAGAATCCCGGCCCCGGCCATTCCAGGCCTCAGGGCCGCCCCCAGTGCCAGCTGTGGGGCCACTCCTGGCCCTGGTCCTGGAGTAAACAAAGTTCATTTTGCGAGCCATGCCGTGGTAGCCATGACCTCGGCCAAGCAGTCTCAGTGGTGCTGGCACAGTCCTGCCTGTGGCATAAACTCCAGCCGAGTCGCGGGCTGAGCCCATCCAGCCATGTGGGTCTGGCCCGGGCTCCTCCAAGCCAGAAGCCAAGAGAGCTTTCCCAGGCTTTGTTCGTTTTTAAATGAGCTTTTCTACAGAGGGTACCAAGCTCTTTTCAGTGCTTTAACCACGTATCAATCTTCTAACCTAGGTAGCTGACTGGTTCTGCCCGGTCCCCACAGGGAGCCACTTCCACAGCTAGTGGACTCCCTCCACAACCAAAAACCAAACCTACGTTTAACCACAACAATTGGTGAGATCATTCAGTCTGGGGACAGGTTCCTGTTGAACTCCTAAATAATAAAAATGTTGCCATGGTGGAAAACTGCATGTAATGACTGGATTATATAATTTCTTCTGAAGGGTTGCATCTGCTGACCATCAATGTGTCAAGACGAGGAGCCAAGACCCAATGCTTATCTATTTTACCAGTGGAACTACGGGCTTCCCAAAAATGGTGATGCAGTCCCACAGCAGTTATGGCATTGGATTTACAATCTCTGGCAGGTATTACCTTGCAATTCCTCCCAGGGTCCTGACTAAGTGACATGATCAGCATTAAACTGAACATATGACCATAAAATTCCAGTAAATGCTGAATTTCATGATTGTAGGATTTTGCATCCTCCTCATCTTGAAAGTTAAAGGCTACCTTTCCCAAAGCACTCTGAGTTGGAAGCTGGTGGTCAAGGGTCCAGAGAAGTAACTTGTTTAGTGTCCTGGAGAAATGAGCTGTGACTTAGCTGATGTCCCAACTGCACCAGGTGGGGAAAGCCTACTCCAGATGATCTGGGTTCTGCTCTCAACTCAAGACAAAGATGTTTTGCACTGCTCACAAGAAAAATATTAAGTAGGAGGGAATGAAGAGAATAATTAAGACTCTTTAACTCTCTCAAATTTTCTATAGAGTCCCACTTGCTGACACCACATCTATTAATGGAAGCCTCCTGCTATGACCTGGGCCTGAGTCTCTCACGTTCTCTGCAGCATTTATTTCATCTCTGCTTTTTCATCAGGTATTGGATGAACTTGACTCCTTCAGATATAATGTGGAATACCTCTGATACTGGCTGGGTAAAAGCAGCTTGGAGCAGTGTTTTTGCACCATGGATCTGTGGATCCTGTGTCTTTGTACACAACATGCCACAGTTCAAATCAGAAGTTATTGCAGAGGTAAACTTAATATTTTATATTGTGATATTTATTTCCATTTTACGTAATGAAGGAAACAAACTGGGCTCCAGTTCATAGGTGCCACTGCTCAGTAGCAGCAAGGATAATACTTCCCACATCTGAAAGGAATCATCCCTCCGTTTGGTGCCCACTGAGGAGCAGGTGTTTTCCCTCCTGGTTAGGCCATGTGTCATGGTGTGAGTGTAGAGGACAACTGGAGGAAGATGCAGGATATAAAGATCTCGGGATCACTGCTGTGTTGTCCAATATTGAACCTAAACCTCACTTCAGGTATGGAATTGTAGCTGCTGTGGGGTCAGACTGAGTATGGGCCAGAGTATGGCATAAACCTGAACTAAGGCTCTGTTTTCCTGAATTTTTAGTGAGTTGCCAGAGTGCCTATTCCTCCCCTAAGTCACTTTAAACCAATCTGCTGATTGATTCCCCTCAACATTGGCCTCTTTTGTTAATCACCTGCACATTTACAAGGTCAGACCCAGAATTACACTTTCTTTTCAGCACAATATCTTCCTGTTTTCCTAGACTCTCTCAAGATATCCCATCACCACCTTCTGCACGGCTCCCACCGCCTTCCGCATGCTGGTCCAACATGATGTGAGCAGGTACAGCAGGGAGGGGAGGGAGGCTGGGGTACAGTGCTGGGACAGCTCTGCATGCTTAGTTCCTTAGGTTCCTTAATTTTTTTTTCTGTTAAATGCAATCTAAGGAGCACAACTTGCTCTCAGTAAAGAAGGCCCTCAGTTTTGAAATGTGAGAATAATTAGCCACAGCATGGGCTACTTGGGCTTCAGGACTGGGCCTTTGAATAGACAGCACAGAGGAAACAAGGGAGGATTTTTAAGTTGTCACTTCCTCTGGACTTAGGGTTCACAGTTCAGGTTAAGGCAATGTTTTAGGCACCATTGCACCATGGAGCTGTTCTCACATGTTTGAGAATGAAGAGAGCAGTTAGAGGAGTTTCACATGCTGAGAGTTATTTGGCAGCTGTTCCCACCAGTTTGTTACTCTCTAAAATACCCAGCTTGTGAGAACTGGTTTGTAAGGAGTTTTCACATCCTTGGTAAGGTACTTACTCTTGTCACCTAGGTCTTTCATCCTGACAAAAGCCAACCCAGATTTAGCAGAGCTCAGCCTCTGTCTTCCTATTCATCGTTCCTTTTGCTTTAGGAAATTCTCTGTGTTATATCTGATCGTGGATGTTGGTACATAACTCAGCTTTCCACGCTCATCTGATGTGCTTGTTCAGTTTTCTCCTTTTCTGTCAGCTCTCCCAAGGAAATACTTTTGTTCATGCGTTTTCCAGCAGGAAAACCTACTTCTAGTGACACAGAGATAAACCATGTCATCTTCAGTGGCACCTCCAGCAATCTAGAAGTCTAGTCCAGGTGTGCATTAATAGGATGATTACTGCCATTTCCAAAGGAGCTTGTGAAATTTTAGTTGTACTTCCTTGGAAGGCTGAGGGATGCTTTTCCGTTAAATCTATGTACTGTTCTTGTTAAAAGTTAAAACAATTCTTTCATTTGCTCTTCCTCTCAAGATACAAGTTCCCGAGTCTGAAGCACTGTGTAACTGGAGGGGAAGCACTCAATCCTGAAGTGTTTGAAAAGTGGAAAATCCAGACAGGGCTGGATATCCATGAAGGTTATGGCCAGACCGAAACAGTACGTTTGCAATAAATGTAATTACATTTATTAATTTATTATTTAAAAACTTCACCATTTTTATTTCAAAAGCAAAACTAAGACAGAATATTTGCTCTGGGTATCAAATTGTCCTGTCTGAGGTTTTAATGAAAAATATTAAAGCAGCTCACATCCCAGACTGATGTTCTCAAGA